CTCTCTCTGCGCTCTCTCTGCTCTCTCTGCGCTCTCTCTGCTCTCTCTGCGCTCTCTCTGCTCTCTCTGCTCTCTCTGCGCTCTCTCGCTCTCTCTGCGCTCTCTCGCTCTCTCTGCTCTCTCTCTGCGCTCTCTCTCTCGCTCTCTCTCTCTGCGCTCTCTCTCTCTGCGCTCTCTCTCGCTCTCTGCTCTCTCTCGCTCTCTGCGCTCTCTCTCTCTGCTCTCTCTGCGCTCTCTCTCTCCTCTCTCTGCGCTCTCTCGCTCTCTCTGCGCTCTCTCGCTCTCTCTCCTCTCTCTGCGCTCTCTCGCTCTCTCTGCTCTCTCTCTGCGCTCTCTCTCTCGCTCTCTCTCTCTGCGCTCTCTCTCTCTGCGCTCTCTCTCGCTCTCTGCTCTCTCTCGCTCTCTGCGCTCTCTCTCTCTGCTCTCTCTGCGCTCTCTCTCTCCTCTCTCTGCGCTCTCTCGCTCTCTCTGCTCTCTCTGCGCTCTCTCGCTCTCTCTCTGCTCTCTCTGCTCTCTCTCGCTCTCTCTGCTCTCTCTCTGCTCTCTCTCTGCGCTCTCTCTCTCTCTCTGCGCTCTCTCTCTCTCTCTGCGCTCTCTCTCGCTCTCTGCTCTCTCGCTCTCTGCTCTCTCGCTCTCTGCTCTCTCGCTCTCTGCTCTCTCGCTCTCTGCTCTCTCGCTCTCTGCTCTCTCGCTCTCTGCTCTCTCGCTCTGTGCTCTCTCGCTCTCTGCTCTCAGCTCTCTCGCCCTCCGCTCTCTGCTCTCTCGCTCTCTGCTCTCTCTCTCTGCACTCTCTCTCTCTCTCTGCTCTCTCTGCTCTCTCTCTCTCTGCTCTCTCGCTCTCTGCTCATCTCTCTGCTCTCTCTCTCTGCTCTCTCTCTCTGCACTCTCTCTCTCTCTGCTCTCTCTCTCTCTGCTCTCTCTCGCTCTCTCTCGCTCTCTCTCGCTCTCTCTCGCTCTCTCTCGCTCTCTCTCGCTCTCTCTCGCTCTCTCTCGCTCTCTCTCGCTCTCTCTCGCTCTCTCTCGCTCTCTCTCGCTCTCTCTCGCTCTCTCTCGCTCTCTCTCGCTCTCTCTCGCTCTCTCTCGCTCTCTCTCGCTCTCTCTCGCTCTCTCTCGCTCTCTCTCGCTCTCTCTCGCTCTCTCTCGCTCTCTCTCGCTCTCTCTCGCTCTCTCTCGCTCTCTCTCGCTCTCTCTCGCTCTCTCTCGCTCTCTCTCGCTCTCTCTCGCTCTCTCTCGCTCTCTCTCGCTCTCTCTCGCTCTCTCTCGCTCTCTCTCGCTCTCTCTCGCTCTCTCTCGCTCTCTCTCGCTCTCTCTCGCTCTCTCTCGCTCTCTCTCGCTCTCTCTCGCTCTCTCTCGCTCTCTCTCGCTCTCTCTCGCTCTCTCTCGCTCTCTCTCGCTCTCTCTCGCTCTCTCTCGCTCTCTCTCGCTCTCTCTCGCTCTCTCTCGCTCTCTCTCGCTCTCTCTCGCTCTCTCTCGCTCTCTCTCGCTCTCTCTCGCTCTCTCTCGCTCTCTCTCGCTCTCTCTCGCTCTCTCTCGCTCTCTCTCGCTCTCTCTCGCTCTCTCTCGCTCTCTCTCGCTCTCTCTCGCTCTCTCTCGCTCTCTCTCGCTCTCTCTCGCTCTCTCTCGCTCTCTCTCGCTCTCTCTCGCTCTCTCTCGCTCTCTCTCGCTCTCTCTCGCTCTCTCTCGCTCTCTCTCGCTCTCTCTCGCTCTCTCTCGCTCTCTCTCGCTCTCTCTCGCTCTCTCTCGCTCTCTCTCGCTCTCTCTCGCTCTCTCTCGCTCTCTCTCGCTCTCTCTCGCTCTCTCTCGCTCTCTCTCGCTCTCTCTCGCTCTCTCTCGCTCTCTCTCGCTCTCTCTCGCTCTCTCTCGCTCTCTCTCGCTCTCTCTCGCTCTCTCTCGCTCTCTCTCGCTCTCTCTCGCTCTCTCTCGCTCTCTCTCGCTCTCTCTCGCTCTCTCTCGCTCTCTCTCGCTCTCTCTCGCTCTCTCTCGCTCTCTCTCGCTCTCTCTCGCTCTCTCTCGCTCTCTCTCGCTCTCTCTCGCTCTCTCTCGCTCTCTCTCGCTCTCTCTCGCTCTCTCTCGCTCTCTCTCGCTCTCTCTCGCTCTCTCTCGCTCTCTCTCGCTCTCTCTCGCTCTCTCTCGCTCTCTCTCGCTCTCTCTCGCTCTCTCTCGCTCTCTCTCGCTCTCTCTCGCTCTCTCTCGCTCTCTCTCGCTCTCTCTCGCTCTCTCTCGCTCTCTCTCGCTCTCTCTCGCTCTCTCTCGCTCTCTCTCGCTCTCTCTCGCTCTCTCTCGCTCTCTCTCGCTCTCTCTCGCTCTCTCTCGCTCTCTCTCGCTCTCTCTCGCTCTCTCTCGCTCTCTCTCGCTCTCTCTCGCTCTCTCTCGCTCTCTCTCGCTCTCTCTCGCTCTCTCTCGCTCTCTCTCGCTCTCTCTCGCTCTCTCTCGCTCTCTCTCGCTCTCTCTCGCTCTCTCTCGCTCTCTCTCGCTCTCTCTCGCTCTCTCTCGCTCTCTCCTCTCTCTCTCTCTGCTCTCTCTCGCTCTCTCCTCCCTCATCCTTCTTCTCTCTCTCTCTGCTGTCTTACTGTCTTTGTTGCCTTGTGTTCCCTGTATGTGCTCCTGAGTCCTCGCCTTCTCTTCTTGCTCTCTTGCGTTATCTCTGTTTGATGCCCAAGAATGTATTAACCTCTGACAGACTTTCCACTCCCCATTACAGACATATTTCAGTAAGGATAACTTATGTCCTCATCCTACTTCCAGAGGGAATAAAAACAACCAAAAGACGCTGTCCAGTGCTAGCGGTCAATGCCCTTCAGAACCCTTGAGGGTTAAACAGATCAGAGCTCTGTATGTTATGTTGTATATGGATAGCAGGACACACAGGTTGCATGTCTTGCTCACATAGCACCCCCTGCTGCAGATGTAGAGAACTGCACATAGTGGTACATGTCCATCAGTCACAGAAAGTGTTTTGTAGCTTGGGTACACCTCTATACTATTTATCTGATGGTCTGTTCTGCGCCCTCAGTCCAGAAACCCGTTGTGGAGGAACCCGCTGATGACCGAGATAAGCTGAAGTTACCTCCGAAGAAAGAAGAAGTGGAGCAACCTCAGATTAAAGGTCCCATTGAAGTCCCCCAACCAGAGGAGGCGAAGAAGAAGCAGGAAGAAGATCAGTTAGACAGACCTGACCAAGGTATCCAAGGCATGAAATGGGGATTTCCGATGGAACAGGTTGATTAAGGGGGAAACCGGGTTAGGCTTTAAGGGTTAGAGATAGGATACAGGTCATTGTCTTTATTTTGCATGCTATCTTTTCCACTAACCTTTAGCATTGGGAGCCCTTTAGAACCAGAAAAGACTAAACAGACAGACATTCTGGAAGGGGCACACCCTAGTAGTCTTCTTCTTTTTTTTTTTTCTTCTAAATGTTCCTGTTTCCTTGACCAGGCATTGCAATACCCGTTGGGGAGGCACACCGCCATGAGCCCCCGGTTCCGCAAGACAGAGTAGCTGTCGATGAAAGAAAGGACCGTGAGGAGTCAGAGGAGAAGGTAGTCCCCGAGGCCAAGGCGGATGTTGGTCCAAAGGACGTTAGACCAGAAGAAAAATTACAAGGTAAAAATGAACAGCAACTTCCACCCCAAAAAGAAGATCATGGACCCCCGCCTCAGCAGCTCCCCCAGGAGGAAAAGATTGTGAAAAAAGATCCCGAAAAGGCAGTTAAAGAACAAGAGGTCCCACCTCCGAAGAAAGATCTAGCAGGGGACAAAGCTGAGAATGATGTGGTGGATTCCAAGAAGAACGCAGAACCAGCGGCAGGAGACAAAGCAAAGGAAGACCTGGCACAAGCAGAGGAAAGTCTAGAAAATCAGCTGAAGAATGCCGGGGGGGCAGCCGATGGTGAACACGGAATCGATCTGGCCCTGGTAGAGAAAGTTCTAGAACAGAAGCTCCAAAATGCCGAAGCCGCAGCCATGGAGAAAGAAAAAAACGACCTGGCTGAGAAATCTCCGGAGAAACAACTCAAAGAAGGTAAAGAGAAAGTGTTACAAGGTAAAATGAGAAATAAATGACACGCATGCGTCACATTTGGCTTTCCATCTTTGATGGGATTGGGATCTTTGTAATATGCCGAAAGTAGATCTGTCGCCTGCCCGCCAGTGTGACTATTTAAGGGCGAAAACTTCAATTTTATTCCAATTTCCCGTAATCCTTCCTCTGTACCTTGCAAAAATCACTTTATTTTATGATTCTGGAGGAGGGAGTGTGGGAACAATCGTAACACTCTATAAAGCAGCCTTTGCCATCCGTATAAGAACAAAGAACCCTTAAAATAACTTTCAGGTATCAGGGAGCCCCTGACTTGTAAATACTACACCTGAGGCTTACGCTGCACTAGTGTGAACTCTAAGGGTGCGTTCACACCAGCCCACCACGCTAAAAAGCATGTACATTGTGTAGGGGTGGTGCGATACATTGTTACAATTAGGGGTGCACCAATATATTGACAGAAAATGGCACTTTTGGCAAAATGCCAAATTTTTGGCCCGAAATAGCAGTGCAGCAGTCCTCCTGTGCCGGCACACAGTGATGGCCCACGCATACTCTACTATGCTGTGGTAACGCATGCACCAAAACACGCTTTATCATGCAGTGATACGCACTGCTCTGCTGTAGCCCATTCATTTTGGACGGGCTACAATGTTGCAAAAACCGCACCTGCAATATGGTTGTTTCTTGTACAGGACACAGGCCGATTCAGAGACAACTGGTGATACCTGCATATTACCCAGTCGTCTTTGAATCTGCCTGTGTCCTGTACTGTACAAGAAACAGATTTTACTGGCAAGTCAAGTTTTTTACTGTGTTGTGGTGCTGTGTGTGTGCGTGTGTGTGCGTGTGTGTGTGTGTGCCTTGGGAGTTTTTTAAAATGAATGAGTAATGTACATACACCTCACATTGCAGTGTACAGAGGTAAAGCATTACCGCAGTGCTCTAGGTTTGAACGGGTCCCTTTAAAAATAATAAAATGTAAACACATTGCAGTGTTATAGATCTGACCTTCCTCTGTTTTTTCAGAAGACCCGAAGGAGCAAGCACCAGGCAACGCACGACCCGAGCAGCGCGAAGTGAGAAACGCTGAAATGAAGGCAGCGGAGAGTCAAGAAGGTTGGTGCTTTTCTTTATGTCCGCCCCCCCATGACACAGCCAGGCAGTGAGAAGGCTCATGCGGAACAGAAGCTGCTCTCTCCATGAGTTCCTCTGCTCCGGCTCCTGCTTTGTCCTGTGTTGCAGATATGCTCGAGTTTATAAATTATCCTCCTTCTTATGCTGTGCGTCTGTAGCTTTAAAGTGAACCTGTGAGCAACTAGTTTACATTAAGGCCGGGCCCTTGTGGCAGCTTGTACACTACATGGCCGAAGGTTTGGGAACATCTGACTATCATCACACCTTTATGAGCATTCCAAAACCACGGCCATTAATATAGATTTGGCTTCCATCTGCGGCTATAACCTCCTCCACTCTTCTTTGAAGGCTTTGCACAGATTTTGGAAGGTGACTGAGGGAATTTGGGCCCATTTGTGAGGTCAGGTACTGATGCTGGATGAGAAGACCTGGCTAACAATCGGCATTCCAACTCATCCGCCCTTCCCTCTGACATGCAATCTGCGGCGGATCTCTTTTCAGTGGGCGACTGAGCGGCGGTTTGTAGGTATTCAGGAGGAGATCACTGCTGCCCCCTGAATGCCTGTTTTTTTTAAAGGAGAACTATGAGGGCGGGTGCTTTTCACTCACCTCATAGTTCTAGCCGACCTGTGACAATGAGACTGTCACAGGTCGGCTCAGTAGATCGGGAGGTGAGGGAACACATACCGGCGTTCGCTCACCTCTCGATCCTGTCACGGCTCTCTGCCGTGACAGGGGAGGGGCTGGATTCCCCTCTCCCCGCTCCGATCCGCCAGCGCTGTCAAACTTGACATGCCGAGTTGCAATTGCTGCACCGTGAAGCATTGGCAATGTATTCGCCCTGTGTGTCACATTATACACTAGGTGCGTGGTCAGGATGGGTAAAAACTAAAGGTGCACCGAAATGAAAATTGTCAAAACTGAAACGAAACCGAAATGAAAACAAATGTCAGGCCGAAAACTGAAACTGGAGATGTTTTTTTTCCAACCTTTAAAAAAAAAATCATCATTATTTTATTTTAATTTTTTTATAGACTTTTTAATGTTTTGATATTTTATTTTTTCATTTTTTATTAAATATTTTTTACTTTTAGGGGATTCGGGGAAATAATTGGGGGTCTGAACAGACCCTTGATATCTCCCTTTTAAACTAGAGGCAGAGTCCTGAGGGCGGCAGAGTCCTCAGACTCTTTTTCTGCAACCCCTCTATACTGAGTGTTCCTGATCATTCATAACATGAGGACAGAGTATGTTTACTATAACTACAATCATGAATGAACAGGAAGTGATGTAGATGTGATGTAGATCACTTCCTATTCATTCATAATTGAGGATATAGTAACCATACTCTGCCCTCAATTATATACAAACATTCAGCGATCACTGATCACCGACTGCTTGTACCCGCTCTCCATCCTGACACCCTGTCACAGGAAGCTGAGAGAGCGGTTCGGGAGCAGAGCTCGGTCTGACAGCTGACTCCTCCCCCACACCGTCGGCTGGCGTCCTGTGACAGCGCTGGCTGTCTCCGCCCTCCCGATCTGTCACAGGGGGCCGAGCGGTGTGGGAGGAGAGACGCCAGTCACTTGCAGCACTCTCCTCCCGCAGTGCTCGGCCTCCTGTAACGGTTTCTTTCCTGCCCACTGGGACACAGAGCAGCGCCCGGCGGGGAGGAGAGGAAGAACAGATGTACTGCTATTTTGGTCAGAAAATTGCACTTTTTGGCATTTTGCGGATATGTTTCGGCGGCCGATATATCGGTGCATCCCTAGTAAAAACGCATATCAACCATCTGTTTTTACCAGCCGCCTGTATGGAGGTAGCCTAAGTGTGTATGTAAGGTTCAGGAGAGCAGAATTTTCAATATAAATTGAACATCAAGAACACGGAGACCTCCAACTGGCGGGTGGAACGTTCTGAACCAATAGAAAGTATTTCACCAAAAGAGTAGTTGGTGGTTGGAACAGACTTCCAGAAGAGGCAGTGAGTCAGTCAGTAGTAAGTGAATGTAATCATTAGGGATGCACCGATACCACTTTTTTACGACCGAGTACCGATACTTTTGATCAAGTACTCGCAGATACCAATTACCGATACTTTTTCTTAAAGGGGCCGGTCACATTTTTTCTAAAGCAATACAAACTAATGATTTAAGGTCAGTTTCTTAATATTATGATTCATGAGATGACGAGGGAGCATGACGCCGCCTTTCCGGCCAATCAGAATGCCGGCGCTGCGTCATTACACGGCGCCCGGCTTCCGGATTTGCTAGCTTCCTGAACATTCGGGAAGCCAGGCAGCACGTCATTACACGCTACCCGGCTTCCTGATTGGCCGGGAAATCGGCTCCATGCTCTCTCATCACAAGTGACGAGAGAGCATGGAGATGTTTCCCGGCCAATCAGGAAACCGGGCAGCGTGTAATGATGCGCAGCCCGGCTTCCTGATACAGGAAGTACTCGTGCTAGGTATCGGAGCATTTGGGCGAGTACGAGTGCTCACCCAAATACTCGGTATCGGCACCGATACTAGTATCGGTGTCGGTGCATCCCTAGTAATCATATTTGGGAAAAACATAAATCTATACTCCAAAAGGTGAAAAAAACCCCAAAACAATGTACAAAAAAAGGGGGCAGACTCAATGGACCGCTTGGTCTTTTTCTGCTTGTTACTCCTCTGTGTTTCTTACCCGATCTCCTATTCTGCATTTCCATTGAGAACATTCCTAGCGTCAGATACCTCGCCTGCTGTTCATGGAATAGGATTCTTATTTCTGGTCCAGGAGTGAGTCAGTGTATTCTGTGCTGTATTGTAACCTGCATATCTCTCTCTCCCTCTCTCTCTCTCTCTCTCTCCTCTTCCCACGCTGTTCCCGGGATGCTCACAGCCGAGCTCAGGAGGCTGGCACAACGTAAGCATGGCGTGTAACACGATACATGTGTAGATGTAGACGTGTGTGTTGTCATTTACTAAAACTGTGGCATGCAATACCCCATAGCGACCAATCGGATGGAAGCTTTTATTAGTATAGAACAGGGATGGCCAAACTCCGGCCCTCCAGCTGGGGGTGAAACTACAAATCCCATGAAGCATCTCTCTCTCCGAGAGTCATGACTGTGGCTGTGAGAATCTTGCAAAGCCTCATGGGATTCGTAGTTCCACCACAGCTGGAGGGCCGCAGTTTGGCCATCCCTGGTATAGAGCAACTTGAATGATGAAAGTGTTGCTGTGAGTTACTGCTGATTGCATTGCGCCAATCTTTGCAGAGGATTGATGCTGCCAATGACACGTAGATAGATGTCGCCTTTTGTTTTTGAATGTAACTGAAACTCTGGACTCTTTAAGATGAAACTTGTTTTAGATAAGAGCGGAAAAAAAAAGTGTGCCTGAGATTTTCATGGTTTTATCTCACTTCCTGTCCCAGTGACCACCAGGGCATTGCTGTAAATTAATATCCCTCTTTCTTTCTCGTTCAAAAATCGGCTCCATGCTCTCTCATCACAAGTGACGAGAGAGCATGGAGATGTTTCCCGGCCAATCAGGAAACCGGGCAGCGTGTAATGATGCGCAGCCCGGCTTCCTGATACAGGAAGTACTCGTGCTAGGTATCGGAGCATTTGGGCGAGTACGAGTGCTCACCCAAATACTCGGTATCGGCACCGATACTAGTATCGGTGTCGGTGCATCCCTAGTAATCATATTTGGGAAAAACATAAATCTATACTCCAAAAGGTGAAAAAAACCCCAAAACAATGTACAAAAAAAGGGGGCAGACTCAATGGACCGCTTGGTCTTTTTCTGCTTGTTACTCCTCTGTGTTTCTTACCCGATCTCCTATTCTGCATTTCCATTGAGAACATTCCTAGCGTCAGATACCTCGCCTGCTGTTCATGGAATAGGATTCTTATTTCTGGTCCAGGAGTGAGTCAGTGTATTCTGTGCTGTATTGTAACCTGCATATCTCTCTCTCCCTCTCTCTCTCTCTCTCTCTCCTCTTCCCACGCTGTTCCCGGGATGCTCACAGCCGAGCTCAGGAGGCTGGCACAACGTAAGCATGGCGTGTAACACGATACATGTGTAGATGTAGACGTGTGTGTTGTCATTTACTAAAACTGTGGCATGCAATACCCCATAGCGACCAATCGGATGGAAGCTTTTATTAGTATAGAACAGGGATGGCCAAACTCCGGCCCTCCAGCTGGGGGTGAAACTACAAATCCCATGAAGCATCTCTCTCTCCGAGAGTCATGACTGTGGCTGTGAGAATCTTGCAAAGCCTCATGGGATTCGTAGTTCCACCACAGCTGGAGGGCCGCAGTTTGGCCATCCCTGGTATAGAGCAACTTGAATGATGAAAGTGTTGCTGTGAGTTACTGCTGATTGCATTGCGCCAATCTTTGCAGAGGATTGATGCTGCCAATGACACGTAGATAGATGTCGCCTTTTGTTTTTGAATGTAACTGAAACTCTGGACTCTTTAAGATGAAACTTGTTTTAGATAAGAGCGGAAAAAAAAAGTGTGCCTGAGATTTTCATGGTTTTATCTCACTTCCTGTCCCAGTGACCACCAGGGCATTGCTGTAAATTAATATCCCTCTTTCTTTCTCGTTCATTGAGGGACACAGAAGGTCTTTCGCCTTCAGGTTATACTGCTGCCTACAGGAGGATTAAACACTGGCAAACGTTTAAAAAAAAAACCCTGTAGGCCAGTTTAGGAGAATCCCTCCTACTATCAGCATGACAGTTTTTTTAGTAGGAGGATGGACCTTGTTTTCTTTCTCTGCAATCCTGTGCCGCTTTTCCCTCTCCCAGTCTAAACTCTGCTGTACAGGGACTATAAGAGGCTGATACCAGGTCACATCCAGGCACTTACACTGTTTGCATTTGAAGAAAAAAAAATCTAATGACTGCAGAGCTCCAAAAAATGTCTGTCTTTTTAATATCTGTGTAGAGTTCAGCTTTACAGTGTAACAGTTGCTGTCATTGTGTGTGTATAATATATTCACTGGCTTAGCATTACTTACACCTGTGTGTATCTGCGGTCCCGCCACGTGTAGGGAACATCACCCCCTCATGTGCCACTTCTTGTCTTCAGCACTGGTTTCCTTGTCATTCATAACTCTGTATAAAACTAACATGACCCATCAATATAAAAGAAATGCGTCAAATGTAATAGAACTTTAAAGGGACAGTTCCCCATAAAAATACATAAAAAAAAAAAAAGGCTTGGAGGAAAAAAAACTGATTGTTTTCGAGTCTCGAAATTAGATTTCTGGACAAATGTATTAACATCCCCAAATAATGACTTCTTATTGAGCATTTGTGTTCTTTGTGCGTACACAGAAGCCGGGAAGGCGGAGATGCTGGACCACGCCATCTTGTTACAAGTCATTAAGGAGCAACAGGTGCAGCAGAAACGTCTTCTGGACCAACAGGAGAAGCTTTTGGCCGTGATCAAAGAGCAGCACATGGAGATCCACCAGGAGCAGCAAGGTGAGCTCATGGAGCCTGTGACGTACCCCGGTACTCAGGATGAGTATGTCCGCCGCTGTATTCTTCCTTGCTCAGGAGATATTGCAACCTGAAGATCTTTAGCTCCCAATTTCCCCAGTCACTAGTCGAGACTCAAGTGTAGGGTGAAACAAACTCTGATTTATTGAGCAACTGAACAAACTTTTATACACAAAGTGATCAGATAAAAGTAAAATCCCATCACATCCCCCTTCCCCTCCCCAAACATTCTGTCTTCAGAACACCACAGGGGGTCCACCTGCTAAATAGCTCCAGACAGCCATAGCAGAAGCCTGGTCAGAATGTCATTGTTCTGAGCTCCTTCAGAGTACAATGGGAGATAACGAGGGGTGGGGTGGGGGGGTGCTGACAGTCTTTTCATAACCAGGTCACACAGCATAACACACTTAAACATAATCCAACACCAATACACATTTATCTCATAAACTCATCACCATGTCGTCACAGAGCCATTAAAGGGCGGAGGCGTACACCAAGATTTTAGACATTTCTGTTATTTGCTGCTGAAAGCAGAACTCCGGGATTTTAAGAAATGAACCCTTGCGGTGGGGCTACTCATGCACTGCAAGGGTTAGGTGCTTGTTTTGTCTACGGGGCCAAAATAAATTAAAAAAATACTCACCCGATCTTCAGTCCTGCCTGGCTGCTGGACTGGTTCCCACAGCCTCTTTTACCCTGAGCTCCGGTGGTCTAAGGACCCGTGACATCATCATGTCTAAAAGCAGAGCAAGGATCGGGTGAAGATCTTCTTTATTTTCTCCCCTAGAGAAAAACAAGCCCTTAACCTTTCCAATGAAGGGGTAGCCCCACCGCAAGGGTACATTTTTCAAAATCCTGGAGTTCTCCTTTTAAACCTTATCGACATTTACAGCCGAAAGCGAAACCAATTGTGTTGTAGAGATTGCGCAAGTAAAGTGAGATATACACTATATTGCCAAAAGTATTGGGACGTCGCCTGTACACGCACATGAACTTTAATGGCATCCCAGTCTTAGTCCGTAAGATTCAGTATTGGGTTGGCTCCGCCCTTTGCCGCTATAACAGCTCCGCCTCTTCTGGGAAGGCGTCCACAAGGTTTAGGAGTGTGTCTATGGGAATGTTGGAGCATTTGTGAGGTCAGGTACTGATGTTGGGGGAGGGGCTCGCAGTCTCCGCTCTCATTCATCCCAAAGGTGTTCTATCGAGTTGAGGTAAGGGAAACAAAAATTGGAGACGGAAACCGCCACTACCTGGCGCAATAACTATGGTGAAGCAGGGTGAGAGAGAAAAGGTGATGTACTCGCCTATGGTTGGGTGAGCGTTCGCTTTTAGCAATCGGGGTGATGTGCACCGGATGGAGTGGAGCAGTAGCGGGAACGGGCCATCTTATGGGGTTGAGGTGAGGACTCTGTGCGGCCAGTCACGTTCCTCCACCCCAAACTCCCCCATCCATGTCTTTATGGACCTTGCTTTGTGCACTGGTGCGCAGTCATGTTGGAACAGGAAGGGGCTGTCCCCAGCTGCGCTCCTGAGAGCGACCCGTTCTATCACAAATGTTTGTAGAAGCGTCTGCATGCCGAGGTGCCTCATCCTATACACCGGGGGCCATGGAGGTGATTGGAACACCTGAATCCAATGATTTGAAGGTGTCCCAATACTTTTGGCAATAGTGTGTGTGTGTGTGTGTGTGTGTGTATATGAGAGATGGCGAGAGAGATTGATGGATAAACACTGCAGAAAATGTATTGTTGTATTGGAATGTACCAATCACTTTGTCACCATATTGCTCCTCTATATTGTTTGTAGGTGACAAAGCTGACGACGTCGCTCCAGAACATTCGCGGAGTAAGGAACAAATGAAGGCGCAAAAGCAAGATGATAAAGATCTCATCATTAATAAGGAGCCCGTTGCAGACGAACACAAGGCAGAGCAGAGGAAAGACGCAGAGAAAGTCGGCTTGCCCCCACCTGAGGCGAAGGTAGCCAAGGAAGCCCCTGTCCTGCAGAACAGTAAAGATCTGAATATGGTGGAAAAGGCCCCGGAGCCTGATGTGGTAGAAAGGACAGAGGAGCATCCCGTAGTGCAGAGAGTTGAACCTCCACAGCAAAAGCCAGCAGCTGAAATGCCACCCGCACAGGCGGTCCATATACAGAAGCCAGCGCAGGAAGAGGAGGAGGCATTGAAGAAGCCAAACCAGGTCAAGAGCCTTCTGAAGAATCAAGATGGCGACCTTAATGCAAAAGAGAACGAGGTCTTGCGTGGTCCACCGAAGCAGAAGCTCATTGAGGAAGAGCAAGTCCCGGTGGATAAAGTGGTAAAACTACCAGCAGGGCAGCCGAAAGCGCAGCTTCAAGGGGGAGTAGAGATCAAAGTTCAAAGAGTGGACCAAGATCTCCAAAGACCGGATGCTGACCTTAATGTCCATCCTAAGGAACCGAACCCTAACGAATTTAATAATCATGATGGAAACGCGATGCCAGGGAAAGAGCCAGCGGAAGCCGCGGAGCCTGCTGGTGAGAACATGATGGCCGGCCACAAAGATGGCGGCGCAGGGCCAGACGATGAACAGGGCAACCCAAAACGAGATCTGAAGGCACAGAACGATGTGGAGCTCCGGAGGAGGAAGAGAGATCTTTCAAACGAAGTCATTGAGAGCGACGGGGCCCATATTATCGGCTTCAACCACGCCCCCAACCCAAGAGTCAACGACCTCCACGCGGCGCTTGAGGCCCATCTCAACGCCGAAGCCGGCCTGCAGGTGGTTTACAGCCGACAAATCAAACAGCTTACAGAGGAAAAGAAGAGATGACAGCCGATGGGACGTGGCTGCCAATGGGACACGGCTGTCAAGGGGAACGCGGCTGCCAAGGGGAATACGGCTGTCAATGGGACTGCAGAGAGGAAAATGGACAATCGTAGGCTGAGCAGCCACGAGAACCAAACTTAAGGGAAATCCTGCCAGTACTTGTATCCTGCCCACAGATCCGTCGCAGTCTCGGGCTTGGTCACCTGACCAAACTAATTGGACGTGACTGCTTGCCGCGTCAGAAAATTTTATCTCAAGACTTGTTTTAAAGGGAACCTAGAAACATGGCGGTTGCCATCGGCAATATGCTACCTAGAGAGGCTCCGTCGCTTGTGACAGGTTCTCTTGTAAGAACATTCACCGATTCCGCTTTCCTTGCTGCTCCATCCGAGCCCTCTGGGTGAAGGGGAACATGTGACCTCCTCCTCACGACGCAGTGCTTGGGCCTGTACGGCCAATCGCCAGGCCCAGACACCGTCACATGAGGGAGGGGAGATGTAAGGAGACTGAACATGGCAGCCGGATACAGACACGGCGGCGGCATCTCCCATCTCTCTGTCCTGACAAATGTCTCTTTTGAAGGAAAACCGTCTCTCCTGCAATGTGCTGCAAATATCACATGCTGGGTATGAGGTGTCTCAGGTATTTGGGAATATAGTGTAAACTTTTAGAAATGCCCAGAAACAAGGCGACTGAGAAGCCGATTGACCTATAGCCAAAGACCTAAGTTTTGGGTAGAGTGGGGGAAGGGTTCAAACTCCCTGACCGTTTTATTTTTTGCTGCCTGTGCTACATTGGGGATGTTTCTCTTCACTTCCTGTCACAGAGGAGCCACAGGAAGTTAGAGGAAATCTCCCAAAGCGAACGGAATTCCCTTCTTAGTCATCCCCGGACCTGTTGTCCCCCATTGGAAGATTTCCCCTTGCCTCTTGTTCCGGCGGCAACTCTAAAATGTGGGATTTTATCCTCGTCCTCGCTAGACTCCAGTGGTCACCAGGACAGAGAGAAGGGTGAATCTCCCCAGCGGGGACACAGGACAGCAATAGGACCCGGATAGGGTGTGTAACCCTTCCCTACGCTATCAAAAAAAAAACTTTGTCACTTTAATGAACGGTCAGCGACCACGAAGGACAGAACTCATCACTTCCTGCTTGCCCTGATTGCACTTCCTGTGCACATAGTGAGGAAGGTCTTGGATGTTATATGAAACACGGTCACTGCAACCAACCTTAGTCGGCCCCCTCAAGGTTTCTGTTTTTTGGAGGACCAAACGACGTATTATGTTTTTTATCAGTTACATAGCGAGGTTGAAAACAATTCACCGAGGAGTTTCCCGTTCCCAAATTGTGATTTCTCTTTCATTTTGCACGGAGGGAATCGTTCCTCAGACGCTGTGCCTTTTCCTGAACCTTTCCATGTCGTACCCGTGGATCGGAACCCTCCGCCGCCCCCACAGCCGTATGACGCGAGTCTCTGAGCACTCGGGGGACGTCATTGCTTACACCGTCCAGTAGGGGGCGAGCATTGCGGACACGGGACCCGCCCCGGGTTTGGCATCGATGTCTCTGCTACCTGATGTTATTAAAGAATTTGACCTTTCCACTTCCGTGTGACCCCCGCTGATGATTTCCAAACTTAAAGGAGAACTCTGAGGGGGGAAGGGCTTTTCACTCACCTCATAGTTCTAGCCGACCTGTGACAATGAGACTGTCACAGGTCGGCTCAGTAGATCGGGAGGTGAGCAAACACATACCGGCGTTCGCTCACTTCTCGATCCTGTCCCGGGATTCCCCCCCTCCCCGCTCCGATCCGCCAGCGCTGACTGGTGGAACGGACGGGGGAGGGGGCGGGTACAGCTGGCTCTGCCTCTAGATAGGCCGAGCCAGCTGTCAGTCACGCAGCTGGGCGGATCCCGGCATAATTGTCGGGATCCGCTTCAGCTGCGGCGTCTCAGTATACCGCGAGCAGAAGCTCCCTATATACTGAGCTTTGGGTGACGGGAGGACGCTAGTTTGTGTCCCCCCGTTACCTTAAGGAGAACTATGAGGAAAAGCTATTGGGAAATAGTTCTCCTTTAAAGTGATATATTAAAGCCTCCTTTTAAAAAAATATATATATTTCCTACATGGAGACCCGCCTTTGCCTGGCCCCCAAACCAAACTCTCTACCTGGGCTGTTCAGCTCTATAGCGGTATGGTGTCCCTAACATCCGTACTAAAGTGCACACACGCATGCCATAGGCCCAGCAGCAGAGGTTTGGGTGCTTGAGACGTGAGGCCATCGGGCAGTGACAACTAGCAGAACGTTCCAACGCATCATAAACAACAGAGGGACTCCCCGTCCACTCACACTTCCTGCCATTCAAAGCCTGCGGAATACCCAGACAAACCTTTGTGGACGCTTGGATCGCAATCATTTAGGTCTACAAAGGGCAGTTCAGCTCCCTGCCCCTCCTTGGTTTCTGACCTCCGTCCTCCCCTTCAGTCTTCTATCTGACCTCCGTCCTCCCCTTCAGTCTTCTCTCTGACCTCCGTCCTCCCCTTCAGTCTTCTATCTGACCTCCGTCCTCCCCTTCAGTCTTCTCTCTGACCTCCGTCCTCCCCTTCAGTCTTCTATCTGACCTCCGTCCTCCCCTTCAGTCTTCTCTCTGACCTCCGTCCTCCCCTTCAGTCTTCTATCTGACCTCCGTCCTCCCCTTCAGTCTTCTCTCTGACCTCCGTCCTCCCCTTCAGTCTTCTATCTGACCTCCGTCCTCCCCTTCAGTCTTCTCTCTGACCTCCGTCCTCCCCTTCAGTCTTCTATCTGACCTCCGTCCTCCCCTTCAGTCTTCTCTCTGACCTCCGTCCTCCCCTTCAGTCTTCTATCTGACCTCCGTCCTCCCCTTCAGTCTTCTCTCTGACCTCCGTCCTCCCCTTCAGTCTTCTATCTGACCTCCGTCCTCCCCTTCAGTCTTCTCTCTGACCTCCGTCCTCCCCTTCAGTCTTCTATCTGACCTCCGTCCTCCCCTTCAGTCTTCTCTCTGACCTCCGTCCTCCCCTTCAGTCTTCTATCTGACCTCCGTCCTCCCCTTCAGTCTTCTCTCTGACCTCCGTCCTCCCCTTCAGTCTTCTATCTGACCTCCGTCCTCCCCTTCAGTCTTCTCTCTGACCTCCGTCCTCCCCTTCAGTCTTCTATCTGACCTCCGTCCTCCCCTTCAGTCTTCTCTCTGACCTCCGTCCTCCCCTTCAGTCTTCTATCTGACCTCCGTCCTCCCCTTCAGTCTTCTCTCTGACCTCCGTCCTCCCCTTCAGTCTTCTATCTGACCTCCGTCCTCCCCTTCAGTCTTCTCTCTGACCTCCGTCCTCCCCTTCAGTCTTCTATCTGACCTCCGTCCTCCCCTTCAGTCTTCTCTCTGACCTCCGTCCTCCCCTTCAGTCTTCTATCTGACCTCCGTCCTCCCCTTCAGTCTTCTCTCTGACCTCCGTCCTCCCCTTCAGTCTTCTATCTGACCTCCGTCCTCCCCTTCAGTCTTCTCTCTGACCTCCGTCCTCCCCTTCAGTCTTCTATCTGACCTCCGTCCTTCCCTTCAGTCTTGCAGAGTTGTACCGGCTCCTCTCCTCTGATGTCACTGCACACTGGGAGTTTCTCCCAAGGTGCATTAGAAGCTGCAGGAAGTCAGATAGAGCTCCGCCTCACTTCCTGGCTGGAGGACGTCCAGCATCATCTACTCGACAACTCCCAACATTACTCTGACAGTCAGTCTTGCAAAGCCTCATGGGACTTGTAGTTCCAGTTCCGGCTGGAGGGACGGAGTTGCCCACCAGTGATCTAGATCTTTCCTCTTCAGCCTGATGGTCCCTGGCCCCGCCCCTTTCATTCATTGGATTTCAGTTCTTTCAATCATATCACATGTGGGCGGTCTTCATGCAAATACAGCCTGCCTAGGAACGCCCCCTCCTCAAGAATGACATCCACATTTGCATAACTCCTCCCAAGATCCAGCCCACTGCTTGCATCAAGGCTGAGGGGTGCTGAGGCAGGGTGCTGTGATGTTTTCTCTGTACAGCACCCTGCCGGCCCCTCCCGCCAGCCTTGATCTGCCAGCATTGCATAGAGCAGCACAGAGACCCAACGATGACATCACCAGATATAAAACAAGGTATTTAATGAAAACAGGTTATATTAGAAATGTGAGTATCATGTTAGGGGGGGAGGGGGAGGAGCAGTGTAATGAGATTCATCTGTACAGTCCGTCATGATGGAGGAGATTCACAGGATCCAGTTTGGGGGTCATTTGGCTTTCTTTGCCTGGAATGAGAAGAGAAGTTATAAGTTTCATCCGATACAACCCGCAACGGTCACCGCGCGCGACATGTCCGCGTATTCTACATTTCCAATCATCGTAAATCTGCAGCTTTCATTAAAATCATCACTGGTGATCCTGCCATGGAGGTGTTTGTTCAGGCACTTCCTGTTGGGTGACAACTAGAGCTGCAACAACTAATCGATAATAATCGATTTTGAGAATAGTTGGCAACTATTCTCATCGGTTAGCTGGTTGGGAGGGAGGGATTTTTTTTTTTTTCATGCAACCAATCGATTAATTGAAATAAATAATCGGGCAACTAATCGATTATTTGCAGCCCTAGTGACAACTCTCTTGCAACTATGCTCCTGCGTGGTCAGCCTGTCGGATGCTCCCACAGGTGAACAGACTACAGACCGCTGTGCTGCACACAATGCACAGACACCATCCACTGTTGTCACCCTCAGGAAGCTGCTCCAGAGCAATGACGTGCATCTGAGACCGGGGTGCATGCAGACAGGAAGTGGCTGCAGGAGATCAGCAGCACTGAGATGGGGCTCAAAAAAAAAAAAAAGGTGAAAATAGTATTGTGCTTCAGCAAATTAAACGCTACTCAGGTCACGTGTAGCTAAAGAAGTATTATAGACGCCAGTGTTCCATCAAAGATTTTGACCGCGTTAGAATGTGTGACCGGTTCACGTGGTCACACATTTTAACGTGATCCTGCCTACTTTTTTCCGCGGTGAAATATGTGACCGGCAAAAGGTGAAGAATTCCAGCTGTTCCGGGGCAGGTCGGCATCGCAGATTGTATGTGCAGGAGAACCGATCTGCCCCGGAACAGCTGAAATGTCACTTCTATCCGACTCTGTGAGTGCGGTGGAATGTGAGATCGCAGTCACAAAGTCGGATAGAAGTTACATTTCAGGACCGATCAGCTGTTCCAGGGCAGATCGGTTCTCCTGCGCTTACCATCTGCGATGCCGATCTGAAACGGCTGGAATTCTTCGCCTTTGGCCGGCCACATATTTTACCGCATAAAAAAGTGGGCGGGATTATGTTAAAATGTGTAACCACGTGACCGGTCATCCAGGTGGTGGGGGTCCTCTCCGCACACCTTACAGCAGTCCTGGCCAAATAAGAACGGTGGTGCTCGCAATGACTAAACGAGTGCTGGTGACCTGTTTCTTTTACCACGTGACCGGTCACACATTCCAACGTGGTCACAAACTTTGATAGAACACCGGCTTCCCATTTCATGTATCAGAACAAGTCACGATACATAAAAAACAAACAAACAGAGGAGCTCTGAAGCTGCGCATTGCAGCCTTGAACCTGGCCACGGACACGGCAATGGTTTTCTCAGATGAAAGGTAGAAACACAGCGCTAAAGGTTGACCAACTTATATAATTAATCAGTGGTTGGATAAGTTCTTAATGCGGTGAATTAGGTGTTCTCATGTTATACAGATCGGGTGATCGAGATACATCCCAATATATAAAAAGGTGAGTAATAAAGAAAAACGATACTAACAAATGAAAAAGAAATACCGTGGTAAGAAAACAATATGTGGAAGTGAACGAATAAAGTTGTAGGTCAAGTAAGGTCGTTACGATCACTTTCACTATTTCTCATTTCTTTGTTATAATAGTTTCATACTACGTTTTCTTTGATTGGGGATTGATGTTTTTTTTCGCATTCACACACCAATTTCCCCTTCACACACTTTATTAACAATTATTGTTCGCAGGGCTGTGTGAAGACGCAGCTCTTCTCGCAAACTACTTACTTGAGAACACCTAATTCACCGCATTAAAAGGAGAACTATGAGGGGGAGGGGCTTTTCACTCACCTCATAGTTCGAGCCGACGTGTGACAATGAGACTGTCACAGGTCGGCTCAGTAGATCGGGAGGTGAGCGAACACATACCGGCGTTCGCTCAGTTCTCGATCCTGTCACGGCTCTCTGCCGTGACAGGCGGAGGGGCTGGATTCCCCCCGCTCCGATCCTCCAGCGCTGACTGGCGGAACGGACGGGGGAGGGGGCGGGTACAGCTGGCTCTGCCTCTAGATAGGCAGAGCCAGCTGTCACTCACGCTGCTGGGCGGATCCCGTCGTCTACGTCGGGATCTGCTCCGGCTGCGGCAGTCTCAGTATACCGCCAGCTGTAGCTCGCGGTATACTGAGCTTAGGGTAACGGGAGGACGCTAGTTTGTGTCCTCCCGTTACCCTAAGGAGAACTATGGGGGAAAGCCCTGACCCCATAGTTCTCCTTTAAGAACGTATCCAACCACTGATTATTTAAATTATACAAGTTGGTCAACCTTTAGCGCCTTGTTTCTACCTTTCATCTATCATCAAGGTGGTTCATCCACTTTCTCTCACAGCTGCTTTAGGATCGAGTACAATTTAGTTAGCTCCTCCAGGGGCGCAGAATTCTATTTCTTTTATATAATGGTTTCCTCAGGACGGACTATGCCCAGGTGCCGCTAGATGGCGCTGAGGGGGCTCCTCGGCCCCCATCTAGTGGCCGCAAAGTGTCATTACAACACGTCAGTTCTGCTGGGAAAATACTGAATATGATGAACATTCGTTTTTTTTTAGCTTTATTCACCCAAAATGAACTTTCACAGTGAAAGGCTCTGCGAATAGTTTATCAATAAATAACAATGTGGAAAAGGTTGCTGACCCCCCAGACCGAGACTAAAGAAGGTCTCTGGAGGGGGGAGGGGTACAATAAGCTGATCCGACTCTCCTGATTCCACCCGGTCAGATTTTGTGGCGCTGTTGGCCACTCCGTACAGGGGTCTGTGTCCCCCACCCCCCGGGGTCTGTGTCCCCCACCCCCCCACTCTGCGGAGCTGAACTCACGGCTTTGGTGATGCATTGCTTCAACTCTTCAAACTCCTTGGCGCAACCTTCTCTCCGCAGCTCGCTCTTCCCAGTGCCACCGGCTGACGCGCACTTCCCATAGGCCGCCGCCTGCGGAGGAGAATAATGTAAAAGGAGGAAAACGTTTCCCGAACACGATCAGATGTTCCCATTATATAGCTACACTGTGTCACTGGTGTCTGTACAATCCTTAGCTGTGTTTACAAATGCCTGACACAGATTAGCCCCTGCTGCAGCCTCTCCCCTTGTGACACCCTACAACTTTGCAGACTGATCACTGGAGGGGGGGGGGGGGAGTGAAGGGAAATGCTCCCCCCTGCCTGCAGCAGACTGATGGGGGGGAGGGGAGACTAGGGAAATGCTTCCTCCTGCCTGCAGCAGACTGATCACTGGGGGAGGGGAGACTAAGGAAATGCTTTCTCCTGCCTGCAGCAGACTGATCACTGATATTTAAGGAAAAAGACGACAATATGGCTGAAAGGAGATTCCGAGTCATTAAATTAGAACATAGAAGAAGAAAGGTCAGGCTTCGCTGGCTGCATGCTTGTACCGGACCGGGGATCACTCGGTAACATGCACAGATCCGGGACAGCTGTCTACCATTGACCTCACCTGAGCCCCGCACTCAGCCAGCCACCGGGACAGACCCCCGAGCCTCCCCGGAGTCACCGCCTTCCCGGACATCACTCCTCTGCGGGCGCCGCCATGTTGCCAGCCACTACGTAAAAGGAGCCACCGCCTCCTCATTGGCCGGCTGCCCACGGCTACGCCCGCCAAGGAGGAGAGCCCGGCTTAAGGAAAGCAGCAGAGCGATTGGCTGAGGTGCATACACAAGAGGGCTGATTGGCCGGTGGCGGGGAGGAGCCTGGTAGTGGACAGCTGAGAACGTTGATTGGCTGGTGGGGGGAAGAGACGGTCCTGTGATTGGTCGGCGATGGCCGTGGCTGTCAGAAAGGCCACAGAGGCTGACAGAGAGGGAGGAGGATGGCGCTGCTGGACAGGCTGGCATTCCTACACCAGGTACCTGGGCTAGGCAGGGAGGGGGTTGGGAACAGCGTGCAGTTGGTGGTCCCCCCCCATCTCAGGCTAATACACCGTTAAAGCCCAATTCCAGCTTTTCTAGTTTTGGACAGGGTGGGGTTACATTTCCTGCCAGGCTTATATCTCTGTGACCCCCCCCAGTGGGGAGATTTCCCATCACTTCCTGTCCTGGTGATGCAAGAATTGAGGGGGAGCCGTTGTCATGGGGACGGGAGGGCACAGACAGCAATACAATCAGTGTCAGGTAATGTAACCCTCCCCTCCCCCTCCCTGTATGGGTTGTCCTCAGGTAAGTGTGAGCGGTGATTGTGATGAACGGAGGCGGGACTTCCTGATGATTCGTATTCCAGGGAATGTGCCCGGCCCGGGATCATTTCGGATACATTCTCCGCCATCCTTATTGGTCGCCTTCTCTTTAACCCTTTCAGCGGCACCTCAAGAAGTTGGGGTGGCGGAGGCATGCTTCGTGACCAGGCGTGACCCCGGAGGTCTCTCTCTCTGCGGAGGCGGGACCCCGGAGGTCTCTCTCTCTCTCTCTGCGGAGGCGGGACCCCGGAGGTCTCTCTCTCTCTGCGGAGGCGGGACCCCGGATGTCTCTCTCTCTCTGCGGAGGCGTGACCCTGGAGGTCTTTCTCTCTGCGAAGGCGTGACCCCGGAGGTCTCTCTCTCTCTCTGCGGAGGCGTGACCCCGGAGGTCTCTCTCTCTCTCTCTGCGGAGGCGTGACCCCGGAGGTCTCTCTCTCTGTCTCTGCGGAGGCGTGACCCCGGAGGTCTCTCTCTCTGCCGAGGCGTGACCCCGGAGGTCGCTCTCTCTGCCGAGGCGTGACCCCGGAGGTCGCTCTCTCTCTCTCTCTCTCTCTCTCTCTGCCGAGGCGTGACCCCGGAGGTCTCTCTCTCTCTCTCTCTGCGGAGGCGGGACCCCGGAGGTCTCTCTCTCTCTCTCTCTGCCGAGGCGTGACCCCGGAGGTCTCTCTCTCTCTGCGGAGGCGTGACCCCAGAGGTCTCTCTCTCTCTCTCTCTCTGCCGAGGCGTGACCCCGGAGGTCGCTCTCTCTCTGCGGAGGCGGGACCCCGGAGGTCTCTCTCTCTCTCTCTCTCTCTCTGCGGAGGCGTGACCACAGAATGGATTCAGCTGATTTATTCTAAAGATTAATTTGGGCTTTAAAGGGAACCTGTCGCCTGAAGACTCCTCCCACCAGAAAGTTTGATTGTCGCATGTAACAAATGTGGCTGAATGGCAGGAAGTGAGGAGAGATCTCCCCGGTGGGGACACACACCTGACACGGGATCTCCAGGAAGTGAGGAGAGATCTCCCTGGTGGGGACACACACCTGACACGGGATCTCCAGGAAGTGAGGAGAGATCTCCCCGATGGGGACACACGCCTGACACGGTATCTCCAGGAAGTGAGGAGACATCTCCCCGGTGGGGACACACACCTGACACGGTATCTCCAGGAAGTGAGGAGAGATCTCCCCGATGGGGACACACGCCTGACACGGTATCTCCAGGAAGTGAGGAGACATCTCCCCGGTGGGGACACACGCCTGACACGGTATCTCCAGGAAGTGAGGAGACATCTCCCCGGTGGGGACACACACCTGACACGGTATCTCCAGGAAGTGAGGAGAGATCTCCCCGATGGGGACACACACCTGACACGGTATCTCCAGGAAGTGGGGGTTGGGCCTCTGATAATATAATGTGTAACCTCTTCTGTGTCCTCAGCTTCCTGTGCTGCTGAAGGGGACCTCCGACGACGACACCCCCTGCCCGGGATACCTCTATGAACAGATCGCCAGTATCCTTTATATCTCCAGGAAGTGAGGAGACAGCTCCCCGGTGGGGACACACGCCTGACACGGTATCTCCAGGAAGTGAGGAGACATCTCCCCGGTGGGGACACACACCTGACACGGTATCTCCAGGAAGTGAGGAGAGATCTCCCCGATGGGGACACACACCTGACACGGTATCTCCAGGAAGTGGGGGTTGGGCCTCTGATAATATAATGTGTAACCTCTTCTGTGTCCTCAGCTTCCTGTGCTGCTGAAGGGGACCTCCGACGACGACACCCCCTGCCCGGGATACCTCTATGAACAGATCGCCAGTATCCTTTATTATTGGTCATTGGGGTGCGCTCTGACCCAGGGGGCGGGGTGTCAGCAAAGCCCCCGGGGTGGATGAAGTATGGGATTCGGATGGAGGGGGTCCCCTTCTTATCGGGGACTCGGCAGTACAGATTGGGGAGAGGGGGAGGGGCACTATAAAGTGAAGCTTAGGGTGGAATTCCCCTTTAAATGTAGAACTTCTGCTGAATACTTTGTGTCCCTTCCATCACCAGCGCGCGATCCTCCGACGCCGAACGTTCACTTCATACACTTTAATATTCGATATAATCATCGATGGCACGGGGCGACAATTAACCAGTTGACATCCGCGGTGTTAGACCCCCTTCCCATCCAGGAGGTATCAGCCTGTACAAGAAAGTTCGATCCACAGCTCAGGTAAGTCCACATCATGCGTTCCTCGGTGCGCAGAGACCGCGATAAAGTGCTGCTTAGGGAAGGAAGTTCAATATATCCGGGATTACAAATCCATCCTAGAGCTCCAGTCCAGTGACTTTGCCTCGGCTGAGATGATGTCGTCAGTCTGCTGCAGGCAGGAGGAAGCATTTCCTCGGTCTCCCCTCCCCCAGTGATCAGTCTGCTGCAGGCAGGAGGAAGCATTTCCTCGGTCTCCCCTCCCCCAGTGATCAGTCTGCTGCAGGCAGGAGGAAGCATTACAGGAGGAAACATTTCCTCAGTCTCCCCCCCTAGTGATCAGTCTGCTGCAGTCAGGAGGAAGCATTTCCTCAGTCTCCCCTCCCCTAGTGATCAGTCTGCTGCAGGAAGCATTTCCTCAGTCTCCCCTCCCCCAGTGATCAGACTACAACATTGTAGCTTTGTATCCAATCACAAGGTGAGGGATCTGTATATGAGAGTTTTCAATGTATCTCTTCATTGTCTCTTATTGGTTTGCACCCCCCCCGGTCTATGTAACACTTTGATAGATGGGCTCTGTAGTTCTCTGTGTCCTGTACATTGTAGCTGCTTCTACAGCTCTGTGTTTTTCCCTCTTCAGGAACTTGTCAGCAGTTTGTTCACGGATGTGTCGCCGCTCGGCTTCAATGTGCCCCCTGCCAAGGAGAAGTCCCAGACAGGTACCCCAGAGGAACCCCGTGCAGTGCCAAAGTGTACCTGTCATATTGTACTAATCGTGCCCTGTTTATCAATGTGACAGAACTGAAAGCATATTCAGAAAAGATTATCCCCCGCAACCTACCAACATCGCCTACTACCACCCCTAATATCCCCTGCAACCTACCAACATCATCTACCACCACCCCTATTATCCCCTGCAACCTACCAACTCCACCTACCACCACCCCTATTATCCCCCGCAACCTACCAACATCGCCTACTACCACCCCTAATATCCCCTGCAACCTACTAACATCATCTACCACCACCCCTATTATCCCCTGCAACCTACTAACATCACCTATCACCACCCGTTCTCCTCGTTACCTACAAACCTCCCCAACCCATATTATCCCTCATTATTTCCCCCCATACACCGAAAGCCCTGAATCTCAAGCCCCACCCCCCCCTTCAGTCAAAAAACCTCCCCCCCAGACTGGGAACACGGCAAATAATCATCCGGGCGCTCAGCCCTTTCTGTAGCTAACTTTGCTCCCTGTAACATATCAGACATCGCACAGTGAGATGATTTATTTCTTGTCTATTGAGGGACACAGGAATTCAGATACAGTCGGGTTATACTGCCACCTTTGAAAGACTTCCCTCATTGGACAAAACCGTTCTTTTCTTGGAGTCCATTGAGGGTCACAGGTCCCGCCCTCTGTATTTAGGATTAAGCTCTCACTACTGCTTTGCAACCAAACTGAGGCATGCTGGGAGTAGGAGGGGCTACCCTGAGCCGGCCTGTCGTTTTTTGTGTGTGCCATTTTCCAATCCTCCCGTAGGCGGCAGTATAACCTGAAGGTGAAAGACTTCCTGTGTCCCTCAATGGAAGTCATGAAAAGGAGTTTACGGCGAGTACAAAATTCCAATCATTTCACTGACAACGTTTTCATTTTCAGGAATGGGCTCCCAGGTGTGTCACCCCCATACAATGCAGGGATTCGGGTATTCCCGGGATAAACTCGGCTCAGGTACATCTTCCTCCTGCTTTTATTGCCCCCCCTGCCCCCCCGCCCCCCATCAACATAACCTTTTCCCATCTTTCATTACATACCTTATTGTAGACTCAGTGATGTCATCACTGAGTCTCTGTGCTACTCCCTGCAATGCAGGCAGATCATTGCTGGTGGGAGGAGTCGGCAAGGTGCCCTTATTAAAGCCTGGTTCATACCTGGGCGCTTTACAGCGCTGATCGACGCGCTGTAAAACGCCCAGCAAGTGAAATCCCATTATTTCCTATGGGTATGGTTCCCACCTGGGCGTATTTCAGCGCGTAGGAACGCGCTGAAAAACGCCCTACGCCCAAAGAAGTACAGGAGCTTCTTTGGGGCGTATTTTCCGCGCGTATCCATTAGGATACAGCTGGATAGCCCTCGTAAGTGCGCGTTTGTCCTGCGTTTCGTTGACCGCAAATCGCTGTAAAAACGCGCGGCCGGAAACGCGCGTCTAATGCTTTTTACGAACGCCCAAGTGTGAACCCAGCCCACTGACCTGTTTCATATGTACTCCTCCCTTCCAGCAGGGGGCGAGAGGGAATCTGGTACTTCAGTGTTTTCTCACAGCTGAATGACTCAGAGGTGTGACATAGCCCCTCCTCCTTTTCTGGGAAGGCTTTCCTCAAGATTTGGGGGGGTGTCTGTGGGTATTTGTCCCATTTGTGAGGCCGGGTACTGATGTTGGATGGGAAGACCTGGCTCACAATCGGTGTTACAGTTTGTGCCAAAGGTGTCCAGTATGGTTGAGGTTAGGGCTCTGTGCAGGACAGGGGGGGTGTGCCCACACCCGGGTACCACCATTGTAGGGGTGACACCAAAATGACTGAGTCATTTTGGTCTCACCCCCCCTATGAAAAGTCGGGCACTCGGTCACGGGCCGAGAGCCCGACAGTGCCAGGAGAGAGGAGGAGACCCGGCGGCATACCTCATCCCGCCGGGTGACTGTCCCCTCCTCTCTCTGCCGGCGCCCATCACCAAGCGATGACGTCACGGCGTGGTGTCACCCGGTCTCCGCCCCCCGGGTGACACCCGGCCTCGGGACTCCCCTGGTGCAGGACACTTGAGTTTATGGAGCTGGCTTTGTACACGGGGGACAGTCATGGTAGAACAGAAAAGGGTCTTCACCAAACTGTGACCACAAGGCTGGAAGATCACTATTGTCTACAATGTCTTTGTATGATGGAGGATTACCAGAACCTTCACTGGCGACCCCTGAACTCAGTCATTGGGGGACAGGGGGAGGGGAGGGGGGTTCACATACATTTGGCCGTATAGTGTCTAATGCTGTTCTTGTATATTTAGGAACGACCGGTGAAGCTCTGCTCAGCGGTATTCAGAGGGCAGTGGTAGCGGTGACGCAGGCAGTGCTGGTCGGGGCCGGTTCTCAGTCTCCTTGTCCCGGCGACCAAGCCGATAACGCATACAAACCGGTCGCGGTGCCGCCAGGCGTCGGTCAGCCCTCTGCTGAACAACTGGTTCCTAGCGGCGCGCGCAGCAACAGAGGTAAAGATTTGTAGAATTCCATGTTTGGGGGTTTTATATGAAATGTATTTGGGATTTTCAGAGTCTCATTTTGACGTTTCTCTGGAGTTTCATTCCATGTCAGAGCAGATTGTGGAAGAATCAGTACAGATCGCCTTGTAGCCAATGAGACGCCCAGAACATTCCCGGGTCTAGTGCAGCCAATGAGACCCCCAGAACATTCCTGGGTCTAGAGCAGCCAATGAGACCCCCAGAACATTCCCTGGTCTAGTGCAGCCAATGAGACCCCCAGAACATTCCCTGGTCTGGAGCAGCCAATGAGACCCCCAGAACATTCCCGGGTCTAGAGCAGCCAATGAGACCCCCCGAAAATTCCCTGGG